TTTACAGAGGTAACCAATCTCTGTATCAGCGTTTAATTTTGGTGCCTAGCGAGCAAGGGCTTCTTTGGCGTTTTGACTGGGGTGCTTCTACAGAGGTTACGAATCTCTGTATCAGCGTTCGGATATAGTGCCTAGCGGGCGAGGGCTTCTTTGGCGTTTGGACTAGGTGCTTTAACAGAGGTAACCAATCTCTGTGTTAGCGTTTGATTTTGGTGCCTAGCGGGCGAGGGCTTTGGCGTTTGAAATTGGTGCTTCTACAGTGTAACCAACCACTGTATCAGCGTTTAGAATTGGTGCCACAGCAGGCAGAGGCTGTCTTGGCGTTTGGATATGGTGCCCAGCGAGTAGTAGCTGTCTCGGCGTTTGGATATGGTGCCTATCGAGCAACAGCTATCTTGGCGTTTGAGTAGTTTTGTTTCTTTTGTTATTTTTCGATTGTTTTTGTTGTCGTATGGTAGTCTCTCTATTAGTCATCGGGGCGGTCCGTGCGTTCTCGAAGATTTTCGCATTTTGAACACGTCGCGGGAAAATCGATAATACCCCCTCTAGCACCTCAACGAGAGGGCTGCACACGTTAGAGGCGGCGTTAATCGATTTCTCGCGACGTGTTACCCCTATATCCGATAGAAAATTGACGAGTTTTGATGAAAAAATTCAGCTTAAAAGTTGGTGTGTGTCCCAGACCCCTCTAGACCGCAACAAAAACCTCCATTATCACGCCTAGTCAGCCTACTCGAGGGTACATTTTACAGAGAAATTCGTACCTAGGTCGAAGCTCAAGAGCATCCGAGCGTCGACATCATGGGCCCCAATCCTTTATCATCCAGCGGGTCCTCCACCTGGTATTAACACTCTCAGTCCGAAGAAACGACGCTTTTTGGTATCCGTCCCCAAAGAGAAGTGTTATCTTCCATCAATAATACTTGTTGCGATTACCCTTTGCTGCTTACTCAAGTACATTGTTACCTGGGACCCTGTCGCAAATCGGTTCCAGACCCCACCAACAACCCGGCGCCACGATGGTTTCCCCGCCCCTGCAACCCACCACCTTGCAGGCCGCACCTCGACTACGTGAGGCAGCCAGCTATCTTGTATTCGACTGTGGCCTACGCCCGAATGGCCTTGGACCTGCACAGCTTGACTTGATTTTTCTCGACGACCACAAAAGCCAAGGCTTTATCCATGGCTATGCCATCATCAAACAACTTAGTCCTGCTGGCTCCTGGGCACTCATCGCAGAGATTAATGATGAACGCACTAGCATGTCGTACCTCTCACGCTATTATAGCATCACAACTAACCATGATCCAGACAACAAACGGGCCCAGTTGGCATCATCAGCCATTGTGAGCCCGCCTGCTGCTTCCGATGCAGGTGCTCATCCTTCCAATCACACAGCCGACCGTCGCATACTGTAGATACGTGGTGACACCATTACCACTCCAAACTCAGACCATTTATGCCAAGCGTCTCCAAACCAAAAACTTGCTCAAAGCATCGTGGCAGGGGGACAGAGAAAAGCCAGGGAACGTTGTGCGGACACACCCGGCGAGCCTGACCTCAAACGCCAAAAGCAGACCAGCTCCACCGCAGCCAACAAAACAATAACTTATGCGACTCGAAGGTGTCCCGGCTCATATTCACAAGAAGGGAAGCATTGTCTATGTAAAAATATTCAGTTATGAAAGTTGTTGGAAGAAACACTGGGGTGAGTCCCACGACGAGCATTTCAAGCTAGATACACTAGATGGAAAGAAGGAATACGGTTGCATACCTAGCTGTCCCGGCAGCTTCGAACGCGCTGCCTTATTGACGCATCAATGGGAGGAGCATGCGGAGGAACCTGACGCGGGGGCTCGTTTTGAAACTACGAACAGCCACCAGATTTCTTCCACCAGAAATACCTTTCCAGGGGCTTCTTGTCAACCTCCATCTTCCTTCCAGCAAATTTATAGCAATCAGCCCCAGCCAGGGCCTCAATACGTCAAATACGACACACCCGACGATGGCTTGAATGTCAAATGTGGCAGTTACCCCGACATCCTTACGGAGACTTTCCCCGACAACAGTACTTCTCACGGAAACTTGCATGACACCTCATTAGTTCAGGCAAGGGCATTACCTGAAGCGTCGAATGACACCACACAAGTCTGGAGCGGAGCGACATCTGCGCCCCCCACTTTCAACGCTAACTACGGCCTCGGCATCGATCTTTCTCAAGAGTCCTACATGGGTCATCAGATCTTTCCTGAATTCGGTCAGGATGGTGATACCTCCGACGCTGTACAGAAATCCACTGAGTGGAGCATAGGGCCGAATCCTTAGCTCGTGCTTAAAACGCCAACATTGTACGCTATATTTACCCTTCTACTTTTGCCTCGACGACCGCTCAGCATTATCAAAGTCCACGAAAGGCAATGAAAATGGTTCAATACCGTTGGCTTGGCTGGTGAACTATTGAGCAAGGCTGTCACCCGCGTTGCCCCGAACGAACGTTTCACACCAATCTGTACGACGGCTTGACGACTCATGGCTACCTCTTCCTTGCACATCTCTTTCCTTTCGCAATTCTTTGACTCTCTTATCCATGACCTCGTTTCAATGTCGATCATTTGAATGCTTTCTAGTCTCCGCTTCGCTTCTATGCCTTTAGCTCAATATTGGAGGTGCAACTGACGAACGGATATCCGCATACTGCATGCAGGTGTTAGAATCTCGGAGATTACATCTCAAGATAGTACCATAGCATTGACGAATGAACGATATATACCCCAGCCTTCAGTTTCATCTTGTTGTCTTGCTCGTAGGCTTTATCTGACCATGTTTTGTTTATCTAGCCATGCTCTTCACAGATGTAAACTGCAACCAAGCAAGTGAATGAACGAGACAAAAGGCTGCGATTAATTTTTGTTTAGATGACTTTACAGGTTCCCGGCCGACCTAAAAAAAAATTATTCCAGCTCGCTCATACAGAAAACCAATCGCGGAATCATGAGGATCATGAGGATCCAGGAGCTTGGGGGCTGATGGCTGTCCAACAATCGCGTGACGCCAACAAACGTGGCACCCCTGTCACACGCACCCTGAAATAGCTAGAGAATACAGCAGCCTATATGTATGTTGCCCGTCCCCCCCACACACACACGAGAATTCACTGTGGAGCTCAATTAAACAAAATTTGGAACAGTAAAGCCGTCGTGGTAATGCACTTTACGTTAGCATGAGACTTTGACACAGGAAAATTATATGCATTCCCTGAGATCTTGATTATCATTCACACACTCATGCTTGAAACAGATGTGGAAATAAGGGTCTTCTATCAATTCGTCCTCGTCGTGTTGTGGAGAAAAGAGAGAAGCTTCTAGGTAAGGAGGGTGCATATATTCTTGCTTGCCATGACAAATGCGACAATCACCAAGATCGCACTTGCCAATCTGGATAAGCACACAGAAGTAATATTAGCCCGGGTTACGGAGCAATAGAAAGCAAGCCTTTCTGGTACAGCGGAGAATCAACCTAATGGACTGGGGGCTTTGATCAAGCTGGCGAAGTGCCACCGCTTAAGGGGCAAGATCTCAGAAATCAGTCGAGTGTGCAAAGAGGCCTTGAAAGGGTTTGCGGCCTTTAGTATAAATGAGCATCCTTTTGCAAGAGATTTGAAGTAAGCAAAGAGCAGGATAGTCGAGTACTAGCGTGCAATCTCCAAAATAGTTTTGACAGCCCGTCTGGCGGTGCTGAAGGGGGGTACAGCTTAAGCTCTAGCTAGTGTTGTGGCTTATTATTTAAGCTCGTTTTCTAGCTAACTTTCTAGTAGAGATTTGAGTATTAGTCACGTAATGACTAGCGCTATCTAGAAACGGAGATTCCTAGTATTTTAGCATGCCAATTAGCGTTGAGCTTCTTAGAGCCAATTAAATCGCGTTTCTTCCTCACACGAAACCCCCTCAAGGACCGATTATAATATGCAGCTAAAGCTGCAATAAGAGAGCCTAGAGAACTTGGAATCATGGAGCAGATCCGAGGTTTCTATAGGCAATTTCCTGTCTTATGGGATTTGACGTTGGACTTTGTGAACACACTGTATGCCCGTAGATTAGGGATGGTAGTACTGACCAGGTAATTGTTTATACCCACCAAATTACTACTCCAAATTCAGCTCCAGATCCTCAAACCCCAAGTCTGCCGGCTCCACCCCCACGATACCCATTCCAATTCTCTTCCAAAATCCCGGCTTTCCTTCTACTTCGCTCACCAGCATAACCCAAAATACCCTTTCTCCCTCAATTCCCACTTTAGGAGTCTGCCCAAAAGTTAATTAGTATTTGCATGGAGTTTCTCCCTCTACACCCTCTCTAAAGAATATCACACTTACCTTCGCTTCGTCTCCGAAACTACTCGTATCAAAGCTAATATTATACTTCCTCAGCTCGGTCCATTCCATCTGCTCGAATTCCTTGGGTAAATCAAACTTCGAGATTGGGTTTTCTAGATACTGAGGAGACGAGATTGCGCTTGGGAGACGGGAAGGCCCAAGGTAGCTTTCGTTAACATCTGTGAAAAGTATGGAACTTCGTTCTTCCATGATCGGTGCCCATGTGCGATCGAACACATGACAAAGCCGCTTGCAGCTAACTAGGAGAATGCATTTCACTCGACTGGTTATGGACACGCAGTCAGGAACTACAGCATCGTCTAGGCTCGCGAGTCCAATGGCAGTCTCGCGGTTAGGATTTCCGGGATCGAAGAGAAAGAGCATAGGGCGGCTTGTTGTGTGTGCAAAGTACAGCAGTACGGATTCGGGAACCAGAGAGCATTTCCAGGGAACGTGGTTCTGAGCGGCGATCCAGTTTTGGCTCGTTTCCGTTGCCATAAGCGATGCCATCGGCGCAGTGGTACTCAAAACCCCCGTCTCATCAATGCGAAGACAGCCTTTTGTGTGATTTACCGCCGTCAGGTCAAAGCCAAACTGCACCATTGTCTGCCAATAAAACTTCGGTCCGCTCCTCCTCGCAAAGCTCCAAGACGGCGCATCTGGACCTTTGACATCGTACTCTGGCCCACTCATCACCCACAATAGCAACTCTGGCATATGTGTCCAGACTCCAAAGTGGTAGGACCCTTCCATGGTTGCCTTCGTCTGCCTGGCAACACCTTCCAATGCAACGTGCCGGTCCGTCTCGTACGTCAGCTCGTCGGCAGAATACCGCTGCAGCAGCTCCGGCCACGACCGTTTCTCCTCCATGTCGTAGTATACCTCGCGCTCGTTCCATTCAAATTCTCTGCACTTCCATGATATGCCACCGTGTGTGAAGAAGAGCATGCGCCGAGAGAGATACCATTCCTGACGCGCCCAAGCGCGTGAGCCTAGGCGAGTGTAATACGGGTGGTAGTTCTGCCATGGTGTTGCCGCGAGATGAATCGTCACCGGTGCATTATTTCTCCCGATAGATTTAATAGTGATCTGAGGTGGGCTCGGCGGCGATGTTCTTTGCGTGAAATTTTGCCTGTTTGTGTTTTCTTCTTCGACTGTGGCACTCCTTTCAGCGGGTGTTGCCACGCTAATAACCTTCATCCTCTTGTGTCCGTCTTCAAGGTCTTGTCGTGCAGTCACAAAACAGCCTTCCGTACTGTCTCTAGCATCTGCGGCCGCAATTGTGAGGCGAGCGTACTCGTAGACAGCTCCCATCTTCGCGGCTTCTTGTTTCCAGTCCTCAATATCATCTTGGATTATACAAAGAGAATCAATCCAGAGGTATTTAACGCCGATATGTTTTGTGATCTTGACAGCATCTCTGAAGGTTTTCGGTAATTCTTCTAGTGGGATGCCCGCAAGACGCTCAGTATAATTCTCCTTTGTTGTCTTGAGTGGATGGTTCTCCGGGTTACCCCAGCAGTGGCTCAGCGCAACATAACACCCTGTCTGACCGTCCTTTGTTTCAACCAGTTTGACATGGTCCGTGTATATGGCGAGAACGCGGTGCGGGAGCGGCGCATCAGTGTCTTCCCACGGGAAGCATAAGCTATCGAACTTTGGACGCCGGCCGTCAATCCTCTTTCCTGCAAGCGAGCGCATACAGGGTCCGTGTCTCCATTCACAAACACGCAACCACTCATTCAGATAATTTAGCGTCTGTTCCGACTCGTCGTCGACCAGGGAGCCATATTTCCGATACGCAATGTCGCTCGACGCGCACGCTTGGAACTGCGCCCACCGGTTTTCCGCAGGCTCAGGGTGTAGCATGTGTTCAGAGATGAAGTCGGGTTTGTGGCGTTGACATTCTCTTTCTGGGGGGACGTCGGCGCAGGGCGTGTCTTTCCAAACCGCAAGGCAGAGTTTTCCGCGTCGGATCTCGGCACCCAGGTCCAGCCATCTGAATTCGAATACCACTTCGCTGACCCTCTCGCAGGCGTCCACTAAAATTCCAACTTTAACCTTCTCATCAATACCTATATTCATCATCGTTCGGATAAGACTCTCATTATTGTAGAAACTAAGAGAGGCGACCGGAGGCTTGAAATTATCCTGCCACTTGAATTCTACCGAGACGATAAGATTGCACAGATCGCAGTTGGGCGAAGATTTCAGAATCTCCAATACGTCCTTGTGCCAATGGTATTGGACTTTGGCGTTCATGCGGTCATGGAGGAGTGAGACGAGGGCTTCGCATTCGGTGCAAAGAGACATGATATCGGGCTATTATGAAGTGGAATGAAAGGTCTAGGACGAATACATGTGGTGGAACAGGGATAGCTACTTGATATATGGTTGAATTCCAGCTGGGAACGAATTCCTTCTGAATAGAGAGAGTCGGCAACTTGGGCTGAAGCAGAACGGGGGTCTGACTTAACATGCGCTGCCTACGTAGTTGAGGGTATAAGACTTGGCGTGTCTTAGAAGGGAATTTAGGTTAGTCAATGGCGCGTATTTTCTTGGCTAATTGTGATGCCTTCTTGCCACGGCGGCTACTCGTGCGGATTAAATGGGCAAGCCTGTATCTGCGACTTGCATGTGCTGCCTCGAGAGAGCGTATAGACCGATGGTACAGTATAGGGGTGCAGTCAGTATATCTGCTTGTGGATGTTTTGCAGGAATTATACGGGAAACATCAAAATAAGAGCGTCAGTAACCGGAATGCATATGCCGAGCTGTACAATTACGATAGAATGTTTCGTATAATATTATCGACGTTTCTTACTGGGGCAAAATTATATGTAAAACTTTAGTTCCCAAAAAATCCTAGTAAACGGATGGAGGGGTTCAATGCCGTTTCAAGGTGTTGGAGGTAGCGGTGGTGCGCAGTGCCAACACAGCCATTACACAGCCACCACGAGCTGCGTCACTAGATCCACTTCTATTTCTTATGTTGGTAGAAAAGGTATCATGTTTTTGTAAACATATTCCCATAGATCCTGATCTGTGACTAACTAGATGATGCATGGCATTCCATCCATATTAGCATCGTGCGCGCCCCGGATTAGTCTGTAACAGAAAGAGAATTGTTGATCATCAACCTCTTTCTTTGTTACCTATTGTTACGTAATGGGATCAGAAGAATCACTTACCTCGCCCCGACGTTCAATCTCCTAAATGCAAAATGGCTGTCGACTGTGGGAAAGTTGCCTTCTGGATGAACGCAGCGAAAAGCACCTCGAAGTGCTTTAAGCATCTCCTGCCCCCCATTTCCCCCTGCAGCGCCTTCTTTGTAGATTTTGGCCACTTTTTAGCCATATAAGTCTGGAGCGCACTCGGTGTTCTCTGGTCGACTAGCTTTGGAGTCATCAAATCGGCCGAAGAAATCGTCTCTCAAACCCGAAAGCCGCAGAATATCAGTGTGAATCAAGCGTGGCTTTCCTTTGTATAAGCTTACCGCTGATCCCTCACTTTCTTCTACCGCAGCTTATCGTTATAGCTGGAAGGTGTGTCTGGCCTCTACGTTGCACGCATAGACTTTGCTAACTTGGACGTAGTGACACTACTGCAGTAACCTTGGCAAGTCTCTTCTACGAGCTTGTACGAAACCCAGAACACATTGATTTCATCTGACGAGAAATCTCGCCCCATGTTGGTCTCAACAGCGATCTACTGGACCAACCACTCCAATATCTTGAGCATCTGAACGCGTTCATCGACGAAACGCTGGGACTCCATTTCCTGTCGGTACAGACTTGCAACGCAAGACGCCGTCTGGAGGTCTCGGTATTGGTGGCATTTTCATACCCGGCAATATCACCGTCTCATGCTCACAATACGTTGTTGGGAGAAGTACGCTTTTTACTACTTTTTGATCTTGACATTGCCCTCCCTTCCCAAGCACCGACCCAACCCACTGTTATTTTGTATTGTGAAAAATAACTGTCGCATTTTCAGGCGAAGCTATCTACGAAAATGCACCCAAATTCATGCCCGAACGCTGGTACAAATCTCCCGCCTCCGTTAGGAAAAAAAGCGCATATGCACCTCTCTCCGCAGGACCACACAATTGCATCGATAAACCCCTCGCGCTCATGAATCTGCGCACTACAGCCGCAAAGCTACTTCACCGATTCGACGTGTGCCTCGCGGCTGACGACGATGGTACAGCGTTCGAAAGGGACATGAAGACGCAGTTTGCCGCAGTCACGGGACCTTTAAGTCTGAGATTTACTGAAAGGAAAATTGGAGGCTAAAGTAAGGAGTTTGGTATCATTCTTTGAGAGCAGCAGTTCAAAGTAAGTTGGGCGCACAGTAGTACCCAGACGTTGATCCGGTGGAGTCCGCTAGCAGATCTTGAAGCAGCGTCTCAGCATGACCACGTATGCTCTCCCTGCTTGCGTAGCTGAGAACATTTGCTATGTTGGCATCGTACCCCCAGGTGATGGTTCTCGCGTTCTCCAGGTCCTCTGAGAGGAAGTCGTTTGGCCAGAAGTACTCTCCGGTTGACCAAGTCTGAACACGAGAACCTCGAAGGCCGTGGATGAAGACAACATCCACTCCAGCGGATGGACCAAGGGTGCCGTCATGGAGAATTCTGGGGCCGATAGCATCGTTTCTAGATGCACCAGAGCCATCCTTGGATGGACCACTCTTGCCGCGGCCAAGGAGCTTGTTGAGGAGGTTGGTGAAGACTTGCTTCATCATGGATATGATATCGTGTGCTCAAGGGCAGTTTGTCTGAGAAGGGCAACGCTCGGAGTGAGGAGTGTATTGGAAAGCGAACTGATGATGCTTGTTGAATGAAGAAGTCTTTGTCGATAGTCCAAAACAAATTTGTGGGAGGCAGTCGGCCATTTTATAATCTTGGGGAAGGCCAGGGCAATGAAGCCCGGAGAGATAGAAATGTAGGTCATCACTCTGGCACTTGCTTTTGATGCCAAGTAAGTAGGGTGGGCTGAAATGGACAAGATTACTGGTGAGCGAAGTGGAGAAGACTATTCTTTGGCATAGGGGCAAGAGAAGCATTTCAGCTAGCGTTGCGAGGTAGAGGGAGGACCTTCGTGGCATCGTGAAAAAGACGGCCGGGACAGCCCGGAGGGAAGTCGGCGGACAGACTGGGGCTGATTGTTGTGGTTGAGCATTGCTTATGCAGTTGGTTTTTTAGTTTCCCAAGAGCGGGGATAGTGTGCGCCACATATGGAAGAACAGGGCGTCACACGTGAAAGGACGTTTCATATGTCCAAAAACGGTTCGACGCGTGTGGGAGAGCAAACTGGAGTCTGTGCGTAAGTGTAGTATGCCTCAACCCTGGACTACTTACCGTTGGCTCGCTGATATTGGCTCTGGGTAGGTCACCGTCAGCACCTACCTTCGCCATACACGTTGTCTCTAAAAACGAAACTTGTATTTGACTCTTCTCAGGCACTCAACAATGGGAGACCCGAGATCATCGCCTTGGCGGTGGATGCAGCCTAGCCCTCTGTTGGTCTCCGCCTCTTGCTAGCCTCGTCTTTAAGCTGAAAACCTGCCAAGTAAGGAAAACCGTCGAAGCCGTATTGTATGCTTCTCGATGAATGCAAATGGGGAAAATGCGCAGGATATGAGCGAGTAGACGTTTAGCAAGAGCAGTTTACCGAGCAAACCAGCGTACTGCAAAACATCTTGGAGATAGGGTAGTATCGTATAAGTGCACGACCTCCTGTGAGAGACGACAGTATACTACATGAGTGTACGGCATCGTCGTCACGTGGTGGTTCGGGTTGGGGGTAGTTCACGACACCGAGCAAAGCAAGAAGGAAGCGGGGAAGTGAAGAATCCCAGGGAGAGTAACTAAGGAGAAGTGCACAGCCTGTTGTAAGCGTCGTCTTGCAAAGTGCGCGGTCTCCTGGGAGCGCCACCATGCAACGTGTGCTTTCCACCCCAACACCCGAACCCGGAAAAACCCAGCGGTGCCTTTGAATCCGAATATTTTTTCTTGGCCCGCCGTGATGATCAGCTTGTCGGCAAGACACACGCTCCGTATTCCCCGGCTTGACATGCATGTCCCTTCGTTTGCGTCCCTGAGCTTAAATTCAACTCCTGTCACTGCCACTGCTACAACGGCACATCAAAGCGCCACCTTTAGGCGTCACCGACTTCGGTTCTGTCAGCAGCCATATAATTTCTGCTATCACGGGCGTCTTTCAATTTACACACATGAGCTTACACTACAGCATAGCAACATCCATGACATCCACTTACCCCCAGCCCCAGCCCCGGTCCCGGTCCAGAACCGATCCGCACCTGTAACAGACCGTGGGCTAGGCCTATCTGGAAAAACACAACGACTTTTCTCGCTAGACTAGATTGAGACTAGATTCTTGAAGACTGTCTTAAGTAATTCTTCAACGCAAGAAAAGCAAATGCTATCTGGCATCTCAGTATCTCAGAAAGCAGCCTAACGAATACGAAATGTCTCTACTCTCTGTTTTCCTCTTGATGAACGTACTTCCGTCACTGCTTCACCAAGCATAACGTGGTTATTCTGCACATAAGTCTCCCCCAGGAACAGCCATTCACGAGCAAGCTGTCGGAGCAAAAAAGGATATCTTCCGCCAAAGAGAACAACTACAACATCGCCAGGTTTCGTGACCATCGGACCCAGACCCAACATTCCAGATCGAGTGCGATATAATCTCCGGTTGAGTGAGTACATAACACAGCATTTCTCAATACGGGAACGTCCCTGCTCATGGTTTGCGCCCTGGGAATCACGTACGAGGTCCGTATAGGCCTGCAGATCAAAGCCAGACTCGCCCTCTAACCACTGGTACAGGTCACCTTTCGCTTGCTTTGTGAAGTGCTCCACTGCTTCGCATCTTGTCGTCGGAGCGCCTTCGAATCCGATCTCGAGCGTATTCAACAAACCGCCTGCGAGTAGCGTCATAAAGAACGCAACGTCCAAGGCCTCGGCCCCAAAATCGTATTGGCGATTGGGTCTTGGGGAAATGGGCATTGGGAATAATTGGTCCCAGATGGTCTGGGGTGAGATGGTTCCACTAGTAGCGCCTTGGGCGATAGTCTCGGAAACAGCAACGACAACGTCGACCCGGAAGCCGTCAGCTTGCAACAAGTTTGGCTCTTTAATCGACCCTTGCACCAACGGGTTGTCGTGCAAATGCGCAAAGTAGCGATAGTGCCCTTTCGGCGGCACTCCGGCCATGTAGATATTCAAGACAAACGAAGAAGCGTTACGAGGTTCGTAGAACTTGGGAACCCAAGTTGGAAACTCGTCTTGTCCGGTCGGGTCGGAGTGGTGCTGTACGTGAGAGAGAGCATCCAAGATCCGAGGACTCCTGCGGATGCAATACCTCGTAAAGTCGCGGTAGACGTCGCGCACGCTCTTGTCGTAGTCCGGCCTCAGTGCCCAATGTCGGAGGAACTTTCCATCAGGTCGTCGCTGGCCCTCCACGTTCTTTGCCAGCCAAATCAAGCCTCTCTGCATTAGTGCCAGTCCGGGATTCTTTTGGTTCCCTGCGAAAGTGTTCAAGCTCCCTAAGATCGGCTCGAGTCCCTCGTCAGTGCAGCCTAACAGCGCATAAATCCGATCTCTTGGATTTGTGGCCTTGAAGTTTCGAACCGACATGAGGACTCGCAGCATCGGGCCGAGCGAACCAGTCGGTGCCAGTGGATTTATTTGATCGTGTTCTTGTCCTTTGACGATTGCCATGGCTTGCCACAAGCTTAGGCCTGATGCGTTAGGAGTGAGACCTCGATGAAGCAGGAGGAACGGTACGACGACGAGGAGCATGTGAAAATCAATCTCGAGGTCTTCGCATTTCGCAATGCAGTCTTTTGCAGCGGCGACTTCCTGGATGCACCAAACGCGCTCAAAGTACTCTTTTGTAAGCAGCGCATCCAATGCTCTTGAGTTTTCTGGGTGGTCTTTCATGGCATTTACGACAAGGTTTTGGTGATGCAACCGTGCTATCTGAACCTGTTGTGGTGACTGGGAGCTCTGCTGGATCGTTGCTTGCAGGGCTGCGGCAGTCATGGCAAGTTTCTGAGCGAATTCGAACGCACGGCGGACTGTTGCATCTTTTTGGCCAAGCCAGATAATAATCCGCGACGCATTATTATACACGGATCGCATATAGGATACCTGGCGGGATCGCTCGGCATTGTCATCCTGTCGGATACAAATGGCATCGATCCAGAGGATCCTGCGCTGGCGCGGTTGTCGCAAGGCTTGTAATGCTTGCTCCAGGTTTTTAGTGAGTTCCAGTTGCCCCAGTATATTTCCTTGCTTGTCTGCACAAAGCAGGACATTGTCGCTTTTTTCCTTCCCCCAGACATACGACAGCGCTTCAAACGGAACATGAGGATGTTCTATATCCACATTTTGAAGGGTGCATAAAAATGGGTTGGCGCCCTCGCCGGGCCAGAGTTCGAGAAGTCGAGAGTACGCAGTTACATTTCGGTTTGGATCTTGTGGAGGTAATGGCTCATAGATGAGGCTTTCCATTAGTGCAGTGGCGATCTTCTCTTCACCGATATCTATATACTATCGACGCAGGAGAGAGGTTGGGAAACCAGGCGGCAATCAAGCTCTCTCAGTGAGGCTGAAGTGGGGCATATGGACGAATCCACCAATCATTTGCCTTTCTACCGGTGTCACGTGGGCTACCAGCTCCGGCATAGTCTAAGTTCTCTTACGTGAAGTAGGCATTAACATGACATGTATTGTAGATGCTACCACCAAGGCCAGCATGCTTAACAGCACTACTTAGCTTCTAAGAAGGAACCAGCCTCCAGTTATAGAAAGTTTTTCTGCAGAAATAACAACCGTCTCTTTTGTACCAAAGACGCACGCGAAGTCGGCTGCTATTTTCCCCATGATTACTGTATAAACTAGTCCACTAGACTAACATCACTATATCTGTCGAGTAACCACACTACGCTAGATCCGAGCCGCGTGGTAAGCTAATCGACCATCTACCGGAAATGGTAGTGGCGAAAGATGGAATTTCTCTCCATCGATGTTCTCTGCGATGAAATCATGACTGTCGACAGTTATCTGATGAACATTCGGATGATCGCGAAGATTGCGAAGAGTGAGACCCTGTGATGGTATGGTCGAATCGTCCAAGACAATAGGCTTCCAACAATCCCATGTCACTCCGTCGCTGCCGACAACCGCCAAACCAATTGGGCCGGCGAAAAACGAGGCAGTAGCTACTCCCGTGAAGCCGCCCGCAGATGCAGCTGCTGATGATACAGCTCATATAGCACCGCTTATCGCGCCACTCCCAACAGTGTTCACAGCTGCCGCACCAACAGCCCTAGTACCGGTTCTACCGG